CTAAGAAGTACACTGTGGCCATTTGTCCTTTGACATCAGTGTGTCATCACACAAAGCTAGATGGTCCTGTCACTCAGTGTGGCTCATGAATGTGACTGAGAGATGCATGAAGATAAACTGTGCGCAGCTGCTGCCAACCTAGCGCATCAGAGTGTTCTGCCACAAACTTTTCTTTGTGTAAGTAGAATATACTCTAAAATGATCAAATTGTAGTATAACAGACACATAACCCAGAAACAGAGTCATTTATTATCAAGGGTCACACATTATCTGTAATTTGATAGGCTACACTTTTGAGAATTTTTAATTTGAGTGTGTGTGTGTGTGTGTGTGTGTGTGTTTCCAAGTGCCCATGGAAACCAGAAGAGAGCATCAGATCCTCTAGAGCTGGAGTTACAGGTGTTGTGAGCCACCTGATATGGCTGCTAGGAACCGAACTCGAGTCCTCTGAAAGAGCAGCCAGTGCTCTAACCACTGAGCCATCTCTCAAGCCCTGGGAACTATATTTTTTCTACAACTGACATAGAGTGGCATAATAATCTTGTAGAACCACATATATGTGGCCCGTGGTTGACCAACTCTCACTGTGCCTAACTTTTTTGTACCTTCTTTAAAAATTTAGATTTACTCATTTATGTGTATGTATTGTGTGTATGTCTGTGTACCACACGCATGCCTGATGCACACACAAGTCATAAGAGAGATCTCCACTGAGTGCCAGAGCCCCTGGAACTGGAGTTAAAGGAAGCAGTAAACCACCATTTGGTGCTGGGAACTGAACCTGGGTCCTACTGCAAGGATGCTGGACCACATTCGTGGTCCCTGTCTTGGCTCAAGGCCCTCCCCACAAGTCATGCGCACTGTAACCTTCAGGGCAGTCCTCTCCCACCTGGTCAGCTGCTTCGGACACTGACTCTAGCCTTTCTGTCCTCCAGTTCTCCTGGCTGCTCCTTGGGCCCTTTACCCTTCTCCTCCCTCTGTATGAGATGACTCACCCCTCCAGTTCCTTGCCCATCTTCAGAGTTGAACTCAAATGCCACCTCCAGATCCCTAGATTGGATCCTAGCCTTTCAAAGCTCATAAGTCAACTCTAATCCGATAATCATGTCTACAGTGACACATAAATGAGTCCTTTCTGCTCTGGGCTACCTGAGGGCAGACAATGGTATTGTTTTTGCCTGCTTTCCCCTCACCCAGCCCAGGGTTGGGGGTAAGGCAGACACCCTCTAATCCTGGAGCCAGTGGTGCTGAAGAGCAAAGGCTACCAATCCAGGACAGTGAGAGTCAAACCACTCCAGATGAAAGTGGTCCGGCCTCGTGGGGCTTATCTCCCATGGGCCAGCAAAGCAGCTTGTGACTAGGGTAAGGAAGAGGGAGAGGCTTTGGGGAGATTAGATACGAGTGAGAGCCTTGATACCCGATAAAGAATAACTAAAAGTAACCAAAATCCTATTCTGAATGAAAAGTAGAAGCTTTCAAGGGTGCCAAGTTAAAATAAGCAGATCCAGTCAGCAGAGACAGCAACACCTCAGAGAGGGACTGGCTCAGCTTATGAAGGAGGCAGGCAAAAGCATCTTGTCCTAAGTACTGCCATTTTGACTTCAGACTCCATTTTACTTATAGGGCGAAGTGAAGTTCAGGTTCCCAAGCCCTGGAGGAGCTGAGAGCTTTCTAGTGGCTGACCAACCTCCTCCTTAAACAATAGAAACAGTCTGTTACGCCCCTCAGTTCTCTAAAACATTATGGCTGTTCCTAACAACAGAAAGAACAGCTGAATCTGATTGGTTGGACTGAAAGGCTTACATTCTGTGTCGGTTGACAATGACGGAACACACAAGGAAAGTCCCTGGTCTTTGATTCCTGATTGGGGAAATTTTTAATTGTAACTTGGCAACAAATGTTTGTGATTTTTGTGCTTATAAACCCAGCTTCTGCCCCTGCTCAGGGCTGCCAGAAAAAGCAAGGCTCTTGAGTCCTTGTCCTGCAGCCCTGCTCGATCAGTGACCCACGTCTGTGGTGAATTATTAAAGTCTTTGGAACCGTAAGTGTTGTCTCTCTTCTTCATGGTGCACAATGAGCTAGGTGTGACATTTGAAGCCTTGGTGGACCTGGCCGTGGTTTTCTCTTCCCTGCTCCTGCTAAAGAATAGTTTATTGGGACTTCACTTAGCTTCATGTGTTTCCAAAAATCTGATAATGTAAAATACTATCTTAAGTCCCCTAGCACCTTTAATCCTGGTGCTCCAAGGCAGAAACAGGTAGATCCCTGTGAGTTTTATAGTGAGTTCCAGACTATCCAAAGCTACAAGTGAGACCCCATCTCAAAGAAACAACAACAAAAATAAATTAAATGTGCAGAATTATTTCAGATTAAGGAAGACCCTGAAGAATGCTTCTGTCTGGCAAATCAGTAGCCCTGACTTGTTATTGACGTGAAGGCTCGTGTTCCTCTTGCCTCTTCTCTTTCTATATGTCATCCTGGAGGATCTCGTCCACTTCCACACTTCAGCCACCTCTGCTAAGTCCTCCTGCACACCTCAGATGCGTCCCATCTGGCTTGGCTGCTTCTTCCTTCTCTTCTCCTAAAGGGCTTCCCCTCCATCTCTGCCCACCCCCATCTGGAAACCTGAGGGAAGTTCTGGCTCCCACAGATACAGCTGCACTCAGAAACTATGACACCCCAGGGAACATGCCGGGCCCGTGGCCAGATCCTCAAGGGCACATGTGGAGGGCAGGGGCCCAGAGCCAGGGCAGCAAGTCGTTAAAGGCCTAGAACCTGTGGTTAAGGAACATTGCCTTCTATGGGCTCTAACCATTCTCCCTGATATGCCAAGTCCTGCCCTTTGTTTCCACGTTTTTGTCTAGCTAATCATGGCTCAAGAGTTAGTTCAGGGGCTGGTGAGACGGCTTAGTGGGTATAAGTGCTTGCCACTGTTAAGCCAACCGGGCAAGAATAAGGTCAGTACCACAATTTTTGAGCCCAATTTAAAGTAAGCTTTATTAAATACTGGCCAAGACCATGGATACTGGCCAGATCCATACCTGAAATTCCCAGAGTATGGCTCCAAATTACATTAGGCAAGGGCTTATAAAGGCAAAACACACAAGGCTACGTACTTCCTGCTTTTGTCCAATCAGAGGCAAGTATACATCCTAACATACTTCTGCCCACATGTGATCAAGCACACATCCTGTGCAGTTGGTGCAACCAAGCTTGTTTATAGAAGTGCAAACACTTGACTTGTGTTTTACATGAACAACAGGCCCAGCATTCCAGGAAGTTATCTGTCCTTGGGCAAGCAGGGTTTACAGGTCAGAGGTGTCTTTGTTTCATAGATCTTTTAAGTACAATAATTTGAAGTTAAAACGTAACTTTAGCCATCACACCACCAGGCCTAAAGACCTGAGTTGGATCCCTGAGACTCATCTGGTAGAAAGAGTTGCAAGTTGTCCCCTGACCTGCACACACACACATACACACACACACACACACACACACACACACACACACACACACACACACCCAAGAAATGTAATTTAAAAATTAAAAAACAGATATTTCAGGCCTCACCTCACCTACTGCAGAAAACCTTCCTAAACTTAGGACCCCCACACAGGCTGCCCTCAGCCACACTGATTGTGCTCAACTGCTTCCACACTGGAAGTAGGTTCTGGGAAAGCTGGCTAGGGAAGTCTGTGTATCTTTTAGTTCCCAGTGCCTGGTACAAGAAGTGGAAAAGAAGAATGGGTGGACAGAAAGACTTCTGGTAACACATTGAAAGCTCAAAATGACCCCTAGACAAACACCATTCCCTTCCAGAAACAGCCATACATTTTCATATGTAAATATTTTCTACATAAATAATTGCCACTCACTCCTATCTAGTTGTTATAGTAGGAATGGGTGATATCTGATCTATTTAAGCCAAAATAACCATGTTTAGTCATTGTGTCCTTGGGACAAAATTCAAAGGAGATTGATGTTTATAAAATTCCATGTAATCAGGATGATGTGACATAACTTCAGTTCTATGCCACAGAAAGGTCCCCTTTTTTCTTGATAATACTCTTTCAATTGATCATATTGGTATTTTGTTTATTTATTTATTTATTTATTTATTTATTTATTTATTTATTTATTTATTTATTATGTATAGTGTTCTGCTTGCATGTATGCCTGCAGGCCAGAAGAGGGCGCCAGATCTCATTACAGATGGTTGTGAGCCACCATGTGGTTGCTGGGAATTGAACTCAGGACCTTTGGAAGAGCAGCCCCACTCTTAACCTCTGAGCCATCTCTCTAGCCCCTATTTTGGTCTGTTTTAAAAATGGTGACAAACAATATAAAATTGCAGATAATTTAAGCTTACCCCAAAAATATGTGCTAGACTCAGTTCAGAAATTTAAGACATCCAAATATGCCTATGAAAAGCTTAGAAAGTCTGCCCACCTGTGAAAATTATAAGGGGAAACCATGTCAAACAGCTTTCTGTTACAGCAAATGCCCAAGACAGTCAACTCATAAAGGGAAAAGTTCTATTTCTGACTCACAGTTTCAGAGTTCCAATCTATGCTGGTTCCATCTCACTGTGTTTTGGTCTTTGGTGAGAAAGCACATCACAGTGTGGATGTGTGACTAACAAAACTGTCTCCTTCATGGCCAGGGAAGAAAAGAGAGACTAGGGAAGAGACTATGCATGGTCTTGCAATGACATGCTTCAGTGGCCCAAAGACCTGTCATAGGACTCTACCTTAAAGTCCCACCTCTCCCAATGGCACCTTGAGAGACTAAGCCTTTCGAACAGGATCTTTAGGGAACACTCAATATTGAGACTGTATCAGGGAGCATAAGACCTGAGGCCGCCTTCATTATTTCTGTCTGTAGGGCATCCCCAGACCCTATACTGGAGTAACAGGCAGTTGTGAACAATAATGTGGGAATTGAACCTGGGTCCCCTGGAAGAGGAGCAATTGCTCTTAAGAACGAGTCATCTCTCCAGCTCTAAGAACATGATTTATTTTATTTCATTTTGAAACATTCATTTTGTAGTCCTGGCTGTCCTGGAACTCACTCTGTAGACCAGGCTGGCCTCAAACACACAGAAATCTGTCTGCCTCTGCCTCCTGAGTGCTGGGGTTAAAGGTATGCCCCACTATAACCCAACAAGAATATGATTGTTGATATGAAAATGTTTGTGATGCTCCCACTATGTTAAGATTCAGTTTCTGTATTTCAGGTCGACCCTCAAGAGGGATGTGAAGTGAACTTGGTGTTTAGCACAGAGCGCTACAACTCTGAGGAGGTAAGCTGCCATAATTAGTGATGTGGCCTATTAGAAAAGTCAATACACACAGTCTTTAATGGAAAAAGTGAGAATCTTCATAGAAGACTGGGTACCCACCACAGTAGTGGGGAAAGACCGGCAGACAGCAAATGATCTTACCTTCAGGACAGTAGGGGATAGCTTATTGAGCATGCTGTAAGATGGCAGCAGGCTGGGCAGTAACTAGCATCTAGTGGGAAGGTTGCAGGGACTCCATTGGGGGATTTCTTTTACAAATATGGTGGGTTTTTTTCTTAAGTCAATATGTTCAATTTTCATTTAAAATATTTTAATCTATTCTTTGAAAGTTCCATACATGTATACAATATAGCTTGAGCTTTCCCACCCCCTCGTGCTTTTCTCCAATTCCCTCAACACCCACCAACCTATCTCCCTCCAGAGTTCAGGTCCGTGATTATTACTACTGTAATTATTATGATTAGCACACGGAGTCCAATCAGTAGCGACCACATACAGACGTGTGTGGAGCCATCCACTGGGGCCTGGGCAACCTACCAGTGGCCACATCACCAAAGAGAAGTGTCTCCCTCCTCTAGCAGCCATCAATTGCCAGTAGCTCCTTAGCCAAGGGTGGGGCCTGCTGAGGCCCCAATCCATGGGAGAATCTTGGCTGGCTTGACCCTGTGTGGGTCACCACATCTGCTGTGGGTTGAGTTGATGTGGGCATCAGCCCTGTCATGGAAGACAGCCTTTTAAAAAACTGTTTTATATGGATGGGTGTTTTGCCTTGATGTATGTCTGTGCACTGTGTGTGTGCCTGGTGCCCTTGGAAGTTAGAAGAAGCCATTGACTCTCCTAAAACTGGAGTTACAGACAGTTGTGTCACGTGCGTGCTGAGAATCAAAGCTGGGTCCTCTGGAAGAGCAGCCAGTGCTCTCAATGTTGTCCCATCTCTCTAGCATGAAGACCTTTCCATAGGTTTCATCCTCACCTGTGACTCAGATTCTTTCTGTGCACTCTTCTTTGATGTTCTCTGAGACTTGGATGGCGAGGTTGACCAGATGTCCCATCCTCTCATCTCTGGCTGAGCACTCACGGCCACTTCTTCCCAGCATTTTGACCAGTCGTGAGACTCAGCATTAACCGCTACTCCCTGAAAAAGAAGCTTCCCTGACCAAGGTGGAAGCAACGCAAATCTATGGGTATAAACATAAATAGCTAAGAAGGCAGTGTGATGGCATGACCATTTATCAAAACAACACCCCCGGGGCCTCTGATTTCCCAAGCCCTGGGCTTATGACAAGGCTTCCTGGAGCAGACAAGCCATCAGTCCCATGGAGCAGACCTCGAGTTCTAGCAGAAACTGATGGCTTACCTCCGTAAGCTGCATGCCACTATTGCCCCCACGGCCACAGCTTTGCTGGCAGGTCAGTGTTGCAGCTCGCAGGCCCCAGTGCTGAATAAGACCGTTGATGGCTTTCCTCCCCCAGCAGCTTGTGGAGCACCTTCTAGCGCGATGAAACCCAGCCAGCAGGGAGAGCTTCCTTGTCAGTTTGAGATTGATTTCCTGATGTCCTGCAACCATGCTTGAAGTCTTCAGAAATAGGAACCTAATATTTAGTTACGGATTTTTAAGTACCTCTCTGGCCTCCCTGACCAATGACTTGTAGGGAGGTTTCCTATGCCCAGCACTTCCATTTTCTTGAAATAACCATTTCTTCTGGGAGATGGTGTTCGAAAGTCATTGCATGGTGTGTAATTCCCGTCATGCAAAGACACAGTTCAGATTGGCAGCTGTACTGTTCTGGGAAGTTATTGTGAGCCACTTTGCACATAATTTCCGATTGTGCAATCTCTAACATGTAAATAAGGGCCATGCAAATTGGAGGAATTTTGGTTGATCACATATCTGTCCTGGTCAAAGGCTCAGGTCACAGATATTGGGCTGCAGAGCTCTGTGGCAGCAGTTGGGAATTCCTGGACCATGCTTGGAGACCCCTTTTCTGATCTCTCAGTAATGGCTTCAACAGTTACTGGTTTCATATGTCTGCATTTAGAACCGTCCACATACCTGTCATTCCCTCTTCCTTAGGGCCTCCTGGGAGAGAATTTCACAACTCCCTTGGGTGTCCTTCCTCACACTTCATCGTCCTTAGAATGACTCACTGTGAAATGCCAATATGTTCTTTTTCCTGTCAGCTGGTGACATTTCTAGTTGGCAGGCTGGCACAGTACGAGATCTGTGATACAATTCTGTATCAGGTTAGAGAATCATTTACACAGAGGCATTGCATAAAACACGGAGCAGTGCCCATGCATGCTACAGGCACTGTCTGCCTCTCTGCAATCCCCACCACGCAGCCCACGATTTGCTAGGTTGCCTTCACCCCATTTTCATGAGAGAGTAAGCAGAAATGCTATGTGGAAATTAGAAGAAGATGGACGTCCCTGTGAGGAGTCTGCCTGAGAGGCGGCAACCAGAATATGGGCGGAGAGGCCAGCCCAGATTGTCAGCAGTGGTGGTCTGAGCCTAAGAAGCCTGGGAATTGCAAGCCGTGCTCCCCACATCAAAGTGTGACAGGGAGGCAGAGTTTCAGAGGGGAAGGCCTGGCATCCCTGACCCAGTGCCTCTGGAAGAAAGCTGGCCAGGATTCAGGAGCAAGTTCTAGCACAATACACGCAGGCAGACCTTGCTTACTAACTGCAGAGTTAATTTTTCTGAATGTACTGGGAAGATGCCTTTGATTCCTAGCTTTGCAAACTGCAAACATTGAAGCTAAAAGCGAACGATGACTGGGTTTTTCTCACCAACAACGCGCTCCTCTGGATATGATGGGCCGGTACTCTAAGAGTGCAGCCAGCTAACTGGAGTGAAGGTCAGTCTTTCATCTTCACAGCACAGCACAGCAGAGCTGTCTGATGGGAGGCACACGGAGAGGACATAAATACCTAGCTCTCTTCCTCTTCCCAGAAAAGGGCTAACATCAAAGGAGGGGGGGCCTTCTCTGATAGCTTGAGGAGCCTTTCAATTTTTCTCTGCTGCCCTACTAATTAGCATGTGAGTTAGTGCACTCTGGAAACCCCTCCTCCCATCAGAAACAGACACTCCTAGAGAAAATTTACCCAATGGAAAGTTTGTTTCAGTTCTAGAAGCCGGCTTATTTTGAAGACCCAACTTTGATTGTAATTTCTTTCACAGTGGACCTTTTGAGTTTATTTCTGGTTCTTGCCTCAAAACCAGGATGCCATTTAAATGACTAAAAAGAAACGAAGGGACAGGCGGTGGTGGTGCACAACTTTAATGCCAGCACTCGGGAGGCAGAGGCAGGCAGATCTCTGTGAGTTCGAGGCCAGCCTGGTCTAGTTCCAAGACAGGCTCCAAAGCTACACAGAGAAAACCCTGTCTCAGAAAAAGAAAGGGGGGGAGGGCGGAGGAGAGAAATGAAGGTTATTGCTTCAACTATTCCACCAGCCATGTTCTGATAGGACACCCTGACTAGGAGACCACGGCTTGGTTTGGGTGGGGCTGCGGCTAGTGAATGTGAACTCCTCATTCCAAGTCTAATGCCCATGGTATGAGCCTGTGCATTTTTCTAGGGATAGGTCCTTGGCTTTAATGGTCAAGTTAAAGAATCTTGACCAAAATGGGGAAAAATCACTATCCAAGAGCAGACACCTGAAGTCTTCGGATTTGAAATAAGTGGGGGTGGTCACAGGATCCACAGTCTAAGTGCACGCAAGTGTCACTCAGTGGCTGAAGTTGTCCTATCTGGATGATTGGCGTGTTTAATTTGAAAGAGATCTCAGAATAAGGAGGAAGAATTATTATAGCCTAGGTTAGTAGCTGAGCTCAGATAGGAACCAGTTATGTGAGCTGAAGACGTGAAGTGGGTTCCTTTTTAGAAGTTAGCATTTTGGTCTTTAGGAAAGGAGCTAATTCATGCGTGCACGTGCTGGTATTTTTGTCAATAGGAATCAGCATCGTCTTCTGACTCAAGTTAGTAAGCGTAATGTCCAAGTACCATAGTGTTAGTTCCAGACAGAGTGAAGCAGCTACTATCCTGGAAGTATGAGCCAAGAAGGGCTCAACAGACAGCAATGCAATTTCTTCACAAGAGGTCCACCCAGCATTGGTACGTAAAGATGAAATCAGAAGGTAAAAAGTTGAAACGACAGCAAGACTGAAGGACTACTCTGTTTTCATTTCCTTTCTGTCGCTGTGGTAAAATACAGACAAAAGCAACAAGAGACAAAGGGTTTGTCTGGCCCACAGTTCCAGGGCACAGTCCATCAGTGGGAAGTCACAGTGCACCCACAATCAGAAAGCAGTGAGTGATGACCCTGGGGCCTGCTCAGCTCCCTCTCTTCTCCATTTACATAATCCAGGATCACAGACACCCAACAACAGGTAGACTGATTAATACAATCAAGACAACCCACCCCAGGCATGCCTAGAGGTCCGTCTCCCAGGTGATTCTGGGTTCTAGCCAGTTTACAGTTCCCGCTAACCTCAAGCCCCGAGCACAAAAATCACCTTCTCTAAAGTTAAATCCCCTCTGTTGATGCCAGCTTGCCAAGCTCAATGGATTCTCAGTCTGGGTGTTTGTGTGAATTGCAGTGGGCACAGTTGATAAGGAACCTTCTTGGGTAACTTCAAAACTTTTATTGCAGGAAGCTGAGGAACGTTTGGGCAAATGTTCTGCAAGGGTGTTTTTCAAGAATCAAAAACCCAGACCGGCCATTAATGTCACCTGCACAGGACTCACTGAGAAAATGAAGAGACAAGAAAGAGATTATCTGCTTTACAAGCAAGTGAAGCAACTGAAGAGTCCTTTGGACATCGTCAGCATTCCTGGTATGAATCAGTAGCTGGGAGCCTTATATTCAGGAATGTATCTAACCACTAGATCATTAAAAAGAATGATTATTTACATTTGCATGTCTGGAGAGGTGCTAAAGTTCAGCTATAGATCGGGATGTCTCATTATTTTCACGAGGCTCCCAGGTGTCTTTTTCTGTTCATCTGTACAATACACTAAAGCTACCAAAAGCTGAGTCCCTTTATAAAGTTGACCATTTTGCATCCCAGAATGAGGACACAAGAGCTGACTCTAAGAACAAAAGACAGAAGTCCTTGCAAAGACAATCGTGTAGACTGGAGTGCAGATTGCAGGGGAGTCTAGAACCCGAGGTGACACTCGTGGAGTTCTTGTTGATAGCCTTGGGAGGGTTAGCTGACAAGATACTCCATGTCTGTGCTCAGTCCCTCTGGCCCAGGGCTGCCTGAGTGACTGTCTGGGCCATTCTGGGCTGCTGCAGTGGGGTCATGTTGATCTCATTTCAGGTCAGTGGCTAATGGGCAGTGGAGCCATCTCCAAGAGATGTGCCCTGCCCTCTGCAGTGACTCAGCTGGAGTGGAGAGCAGCCCATTTGTCTTGGCACTCAACAGAGTGTGTGGGCAGCGCTAGACATTCAGCACTTACTGGCAAATCCAATTTCCCAAACCACAAAAGTCATCTCTGGACTTGCACTTGGGCATAAGTTTGACATCTGACCACTCCAGCACTCTCCTTCCCACACGCTCGCTCAGTGTGCTCACTTGCCCAGATACCCTTCAATTCCTCATCAACACCTGCGAACCCCAGGCTCCGTTTCTCACGGCAGCTGCCCCCACTTACTGACACGGACCAAATGCTTGCACTTCTAATACCACAGTCTTGAGTGATTCTCACCTAATGCTTCCTTGACAAGGAAGGTCAAATCTGGAGCCAAAGGACTATGAGAATTCAGAATAGTGTTGGAGATATTCATGTTGCTTGGAATAAGTGAGCTAATGACTAATATTTAAAAATCTACAGTTGCATCGAGATCTTGTTTCCCCCTTAGATTTGGAAATAGGAATCATTTGATGCTTTAAAAAAGATTTATTTTTAATTATGTGTAACTGTGTGTGTGTGTGTGTGTGTGTATGTGCGCGCACCATGTAAGAGCCTGTGTCCGTGGAGTTCAGAAGAGGGCATCAGATCCCCAGAGCTGGAGTTACAGGTGGATGGGGGCTGCTCAGTGTGGGTCTTCTGCAAGAACAGTACAGGCCCTTAACCGCTGACTTTGGACAGGACTTTTTCCAGGAATATTTGCCACAGTAGCATTAGCTTTGGGACACTCTTCAATAGAGCCATTCAACTGGATCCTGTTCACTTACTAAGTCCTGTGTACTCCTAGGAGCCATTCTGAAATCTACCTAGATTTGGCTACTGTACAACATCACAAAAAAAAAATATTGGGGCTGAAAAGACGGAGAAAAGCATTGGTTGTACAATTCTGAGGTACAGAGTTTGGATCCCATCACCCATTCAAGAAGCTAGGTATCCCACAAACACCTGTTAACTCCAGCTCCAGAGGACATGACACCTCTTCTGACCTCCATGCATGCACCAGAACACACACACACACACACACATGCATATACAAATACAGATACATACACGTTCTCGAGCACACACAAATACATAAATAATTCAGTCATAGTGGAGGGCAGTTTTCATCAACTAAGTTTGAGTTCTGCTCTTACTGTGAGTTCAGCAGACACTGAGTGGTGCTGATTGCTCATGTATGCAAAACTATCTACTGAGGATCAAAGCCTTGGTTTACTAGACAGATGCACCAGAGTTTAATGAATATGTGAAGACTGAGGAGACCAGGGACATTTGTCTGAAAGTTCACAGATCTCTAAGGTGAGCTGTGTATTAATGAACTCATTGTTTCATAGCATCAAGGGGATAGTCCTGATTCACTGAATGAGTGCAGGATAAAATGGATTGAGGCAGTTGCCTTAAATTCTTATAAAGTACTAATTATCACTAGGAGGTACAAAATAAAATTGTTCTGTTTAAAAGACATGAACTTTTATTATAAAATAATGTTGTGATTCAACAAATCATGCAATATATTCCTACTTTAACCTAATTTATAGTTTATTTGTTATTTGTTGAAAAATATACTTTTGTTCGTTGTGACTGCCTTTTTAACCTACTTATCCAGTTTCCAATAGGAAATGACTTTTGATATATTGAGTAGCTGAAATCAAGTAACACAGTGGATGTCTGTAATCAACTGAATTTATAAATTTCTAGAAACAAAAACAAACCAGAGGGCTGACTTTAGATTGAGGCCAACTATGGAGACAGGCTTGGAGTAACCAGTTCAAGTCTTGGCAGTTTCTAGTCAGTATTTAGTTAATCCAGTGATGAACTTTCGTAGTTTAGTTAATAAACAAGGCAATCTAATCCTAGCTCCCCATTGCTTCTCTCTTTAGTTAGTTCTCAAACTTCCCACAGATAAACATCTGTGAGCAGAGGGAAAGGCCGGAGGAGCTTCAGATTATCAGTAACACCCCGTGTTGCTAAGTGCACTTACCAGGTCACATGTCCTCAATGCTGACAGTCTTTAGTGTAACTCATTTATCTTTGAGGGTAATGCATTTGGCTATCACAAATCTAAAGCCACAGTAAGATAAGAAAGCGTTGGGGAGCTACATGAAGGAAGTTTCAGTCACTGGAAAAGAAGAGGGGGGGGGGAAGGATGCCAGAACCCTGGGACAGGAGACCAAGGCAGGGACATTCCTGTCACTGTGTTGGCTTTGGAGTCCTGCATGACATGTCCCGGAACCCTATGGATTCAGCTAGCTGCTCACATCAAGGAGAAACTACAAATTCATTCATAAAGTGCTAATAATTCCACCAAGCAGCAGAAGTCAGAAGCTTCTCTATGATAACATGAATAAAGTCACAGCTCCCTGTTGATCAACGTGTTCTGGCAAGTTGACAACTGGGTTACAGAAGTTAGCTTGAGAAGTCAGTGAAGGACCGCAGTGCTTGGCTCTAAGTGTGAAGGCACTTGTATAGTTGGTAACAGAAGAGAACGAGAGACCAAATCCTTAGAGGAATCATGTCACGGTGGCTGACGGCAGAGCAGGAAACCAAGGCCTTTCAGCTTTACTCTCAACAAGTTTTCTTCTATAAGCACTTGCCAAGTGCCGGGCCTCCAGTACACCCATTACGTCTAATATCTTCTTGCTCTCTAAAACACAGCCACATGCGAGCTTTTGCCTTTCTATAGGCACAGAGCATGCCAGCCTGTGCACGTGCAGTGAGACAATTTCTGCTTTACGTAGCATGAGCTGTTTGCTTCCTCAAATTCTAATTTTTATTTATTTTTATTTCTATGTGGGGGTGAAGGGGTGGGGGACATGCACATGGAGGCTGGCTTTGTGGAGTCAGTTCTCTCCTTCCACCTTGATATGGGGTCTGAGGATTGAACCCGGGTCTTGCAGCTTGCACGACAAATTCTCCCCCACCCCTCCTCCAACCTCCACGCCCAGCCCATCGCTTCCACAACTTTATACCCCACCAACTCTTATCACTCCAAACTCTCTCATCCAAGGACCTTTATTTTTTATTTTTAAAAATCTAGTTTTATGTGTTTGCATGTTTTGCCTGCATGTATGTCTGTGTACGAACCTCGGTGAAGCTCTCACAGAGGCCAGATGGCTTCAGATCCCCTGGGACTAGAGTTACACAAGGTTGTAACCTACCGTGTGGGTGCTGGGAATTGAACCCAGGTCCTCTGGAAAACAGCCAGTGCTCTTAACTGCTAAGCCATCTCTCCAGCCCAGGATCCTTTTCTTTATAGCCTTGATTCTGATTTCTCTGGCTTCTCCCAGGATTTTGCCCCTCAGCATCATTCTCATCTGCCCACCATTATTAGTTCCTGATCTTGCCCCAGAGACAGTGCCCTGTTGACCAAGTGTTTCCCAGAGCCCTGTCCCTTTCCTTCCCCACTCTTCAAAAGGAGACTCTCTTCACATTGCCCAGCGGCAGCCATTCCTAATCCACCTTCTACACTCCATAGAGTAGAAGAAACCGAAACTGCTCCCAGTCACTCGGGACCTCCGATCGCCAAAGCCAACGGGGGTTTTATTGTTCTTTCAGAGTTCCTTAATGTGTCTGTAGCAGTTCACATCATCCACTCCTGTTGTTTTTCTTAACCTAATATTTCATACATAGAATACCAGCCTCAATAAGCTCCCTCCCCCAACAGTATATTTTGGCCTTTAATTGTATTATTGTTCTGGAGTTCACTAGAAAATTTGGTCATTGCCACCCCCATCTCCTAACATCTGGTCATTTGCCACTTCCCATGAAGCTGACCTCCCCAAAACATCTGGGAGCCATTCTTCTGTTTTCAAACTCAGTCAATCACTCTTGTGCCCCTTTTCCATAGGACTACTCCAACAGTTCCTCGGGTCGTGGATTTCAGTGTCCTCCTGTCTGTCCTGTACAGACTTAATACTGACACAGAGTCCATGTGCACCTGGTTCTGCACACCAGGCCATTCACAGGATGATGCCATATATTTACATTCCTTCCAGACCGGCCACTGAGTCTGAGCCAGCCAGTGCCCCCTCCCTCCCTAACCACTCATCCCCTCACTGCATCCCCACCGACAAGACGGGACCTCAAAGCCCCGAAAACAATCTCCTTTCTGTGGAGCCTTCCCCCAAACTCTGCAGCCCAAATGAACCTTGGCCCTGCCTGTTTGTCCACAAGCTGTGCTCTGTGTCACCACAGGCACCACAGCCATCAGGGGATCATCTCTGAATGCTGGATCCCCACGGACCAACCAATAGGATGTATGCTAAAACTTACTTGACCTGAAGAATGTTTCCTAATGAGCTCGCCTTGGAGTACCGCACTGCTGGCGGGCCACGACAGAGGGTGTCTCCACCAAACTGTATGCAATGGTGATCCATGATATTATCCTGGAAATTATTTACTGAAGTTTGACTTTCTAAAAGTAATTAACGATAGTATCCCTATCTCTTGAAGTCTGACATTGAGTGGGTTTGCTGAATCAAAAAATATAAATAAAAAGTTATAAAACAAACAGCACAGGAAAAATCCATCTAATTTTTTCAAGTGTTCAAAAAGTGACTGGGAAGCTGTCATGTCATTAGTCAGCTTTAAAGGACACAATGGCACTCACTTTCAAGCCAAGTCAGCAGGTAAGAAGATGGGCAGTGGACTTTTCAACTAATAAATGTCTAGATTAACGTCTAGTATCATGGCTGTTTTAACATACATCCATAGTGCTACAAACTGCCGTTAAGTCAGTTTATACTTACTTGGTGTAGCCAATTCAAGCACATAATCTCCATCTTAACCTCATGTTCAGTTCAAGATACTCCTGTGAGACGATCTAATACCCCATCCCTAATTTCATTACTGAAATTTCTCAGATTTCGTCTTAAAATGCCTTAGTACAAATGTGCTTTTCTTTTCCTTCTCAGATAGTCATGGACATATTGATCCCTCACTGAGACCCATCTGGGACTTGGCTTTTCTCGGCAGCTCTTACGTGATGTGGGAGAAGACAACCCAGTTCCTGCACTACTACTTGGCCCAGCTCACTAGTGTGAAGCAGTTGGTAAGAACCTGAAAACCAGTTGGATCAGCAGAGCCACAGTGGATGCCAGGGTCCCGCCTGAACCAGCGGGAACTCTTACCTTTATGGCAGGAGCTTTAACTACATTTCATGCATTCAGTCAATATTTGAGTGGCCGCAATGGCTCAGGTATTGTTTTGGGGATGGAGGAGGTAGTTGTAAACAAAACCACCTCTGTTGACTTCAATGAGACCCAATTCCAGAAAGAAGCAAGACAGAGCGTTAACAATGAATATGTACCAAACAGTGGTGGGAAATGCTATGGAATAAAGAAAGCAGGGAGGAGGAACCACAGGCTCTTGCTAGACGGAGGTAGAGGTGACTTTGGAGCAGAAGCCCCAAGGCCCCGAGCGCAGAGAGAAGGGGACTTGAGACAGGGAACTGGATCAGGAGGGTGGCCGATGGTCGAGGGAGTGGCAGGGCCCAGTGGTTGTGCAGAGTTATCAGAGAGGCTGTGCAGGAAACGAGGTGGCCCGGCAGGAAGTGGAGGGTATCTGTGAGTCTGGGAGGTCATTAGCTCAGGCTTGTCTTTATCCTGTTAGGAGGAGAGTGACAGGATGTGATTTTCATAGGATCTTTCTGGCTCCCTTCTGAGAGCAGACTACAGTGAAACAAGGGAGGAGCCGGAAGGCGTGGTGGAGGCATGGACTAGGCTTGGTGGAGGCATGGACTAGGGGCAGCAAGGGAAGTGGTGGCATGTTTGGATTCAGGTGGACTGGTAATACTGCTTAGGGGTGGATGTGAACATCGGAAAGTGGTAAGCGTTGAAAGAGGAGTCTTAGGATTGGGGCCTGAACCTGGAAGGATAGTTTCTATGCACTGATTGGAAAAGACACCATCAAGCAGATTTAGAGGAGACGGTCTCGGTTTGTGGCAAGAAGACGATATGTATAGTCATCTTGTCATAGAGGTTTGTCTTTAGGAGACAGTGATGGGCTGTAACCAGGCCCACGTGATGGTGTTTAAACCACTGACCGGGAAAGTTCCCAGCGGTGGTGTATACAAAGCCGCCGAAGACTGGATCTGGCACTCTTCTAACCTTAGAGCTGACAGCAGACTCCACCCGTAGGGGAAGGAGACGACAGCAGCCAGATGACAGTCACAGGTGACAGTAGCCCAGGTGGGAGCCTCTAAGTTCTCTGCTCTGTCCTCCCAGGGAAAAAGCAGAGCCATGAGCCAGGGGTGACAATGAGCGGAGGTGTCGGGGATGAGGTGGACCCTCACATGAATGTGAGTGACCTGTGCAGAGGTTTTGTCGCTCTTCGAAGGGGGAAACAGGCGAGTAGCTGCCTTCCACCGGGGTTGGGATTCTTCTCAGGGAGAGAGGGGTTTTTCCAGAGTGAAAGCTGAACCAACTGTAAGTACTACCTAACAGGAAACACGTTCACGATTTACCCACGGATGGACCTTCTGTGTCTTCTGAGGAACTTGTCAAACATTTAGTATTTTTAATGCCAATAGTAATTTAGTCTGCTTTCCAAAGACCATTGTAAAACAGACATCAAATACAACCTAGTTTTTTTTTTCTTCACTGATCTTTTTATAGAGTGTCTTTTAACAGGAATTACCCTAAATTGATTGTTGCTAGGTAACCAACCAGTCAGGGTATGGTCCAACGTGTTTTGTTACATCTCCTTCCCTCTTCCTAACAGGGCAACGGAGCTGATAAAGCCAAGACAGCTCAGAGCAGGAAGTGTTGGAGGGCTTCTCACCCCCACAAACCTTTCTGGGTGGGAACTATTATCTGAATACTCCGGGCTAAAGTTACCTGCTAATGCAATAGCATAAGGAAATGCAAACTTATAAACTCCCAGCCCCCAAAGAACAAGGCCCAACAGGAGAGTGGGCAAAGAAAGGAAGGGCTGAAATACATTCATAAAATGAGACCCATCATCCAGCCACAGTCATTTCTTCAGAACCAAAGGACAAATGGCATTCCCAATACTACAGACTATGCCAGCAAAGAAAAAAAAAAAAAAATGGGGATAAAGATTTCTACTATAACCCCAGGCTTTCACATGAATTGACCAAAGTAAAACATTATTCTCATTCTAATCCACTGATACCAAATCTTGTAGTCACTCTAAAATATCTGTCTACCATGTCACCACTCGTATTAGTCAGTGCAGACTTTATCTCAGCTTAAGGTCTTCACCAGCCCAAGACACATTACAGAATTACCTCACCGTCCATATCTATTCTGCTGAGAAGTCTCTTTTCGATAACTTATGTTAATAGCTTAAGCCTACTTATTTTATTAAAACCACACTGGTTCTGTTAGGGCTTAGTCTCTCCCTTAGGAGATGCAGGGGACCTGGGTGGTGGGTTACAAAAAAAATGGGATCAAACAAGGCTTCCTTCCCCACGGTTTCCAGGAAGATTAAAGTTCTAAGTTACAAAAATAAAAATAATAAATCATCATCAATCTGGAATATAAGCACTTGGCATTTGTAATGATTTGAATAGATGCCCAAGAGGTTATTTCTGAATAATATTAAAAATAATGACCTCTTGGCAGGACTTGACGCGGCGAGGGCAGACTGTGAGGTACACTGTTTACCTCTGCAGTTCTGTAACAAGCTGTGCTTTGGGCCCTTCCTCCTGAAGGAAGATACAAGCCCGGGGGTTATAATTCAGCCTACACACCTAACATGTGCAATGTCTTTCTTTTTGTCACTACTGGGGAGTGACCCATAGCTTCACGTGTGCGAGGCAGGCACTCTACCACCGAACTAGACACACACAGTCTGAGCCCTACTCGGTGGGTGGTCTGAGCAAAATCGTTCATTAAAGGAAACTGGTGTTCTAATGCTTATGTCGAGCCCAGCCCCTTTTTACCTAAAACTTGAAAACTACCATAATTTCATTTTTTAAAAAATGCTGCTTTTGAAAGCCAGGCATGGTAGCACTTACCTGTAATCTCAGCACTTAGGAGGTGGAAGTTCAAGACCCGCCTCCCGCTCCAGAGTTCTAGGCCAGTGTGGACTACATAAGACCTCTCAAAAATATACACATCAAAAAATACGCTTTTTCCAAAAGCAGAATAAGAAAGCACTGGCTTGAAAAGATGTCTGTAAGTAAAAACAATTGAAAACATTTAAGACTACATTATAAAGCCAGGCCTTGGGAAACAGTAGAGGTGGCAGTGAAGTCTGTGGCCGTCAACAGGGGTCCACTGGTGAGCAACAACTTGGGAAAGGTCAGCATTCCCTTGCAAGGTAAAGTCACCAAAACGAAGGCCAGGCAAGGCCAAACACACCCCTCCAAATGAAAACCAGCCTGGTAGAGCTGTCCCCTTGCATCTGTGGGGGACTTAGAAGCCCCCCACATTCTCCCGCATACTTTATCTCTGGGTTGCCTACCTGCAATGCAACGGCTGTATCCACTGTGTTACTCTGATTTGTTTGGGGAACAGCAATGAAAACTGCCCACATTCAGAACTCACAGTTTCTCTTCTTAGTTGGTTGCACACATGGGTACAGAGCCCACAGATTCAGAAGGGTAACTGGGGTAGGAAGTGCTGGTAACTAATTCTCTTACGAAAGACAGTTTTCCCCGGTGAGTTTCCATTTTGTGGCTTGTGCCTCAGATGTCTGCATACTCCTGTGTATGCTGCCAGGCCAGAGAGAAACCTACCCAACAGTGCAAGGAAGTCACCGTACAAGGACAGTCCGCTTCTGATTCGTCTGCCTCTTTCACATCTTCTACAGCCCCCTTCTCACTGGCTGCACATGGCTGGGAAAATCTCCATCCAAACAAGAAAAGCAAAGACAAAGCCTAAAATCAAGTTTCTTTTCACTGTTTTTATTTTTTCCTGTCTCTTTCATATTCTTTATTAGTTTTACTAAAAACTTGGTAGAAGACTAAAGTTATATTCCAAAGACTGAAGGTTTTAAAATAATCCTATTTTTATTATTAAAGAGAAAAATCACCTTGATATATAAAACTAAGAAATATGAAAAAGGAACTAGGCAATTGACTTATTTGCTTTTTTTTTTTTTTTTTTCAAGAGCTGAGGACTGAACCCAGGGCCTTGCGCTTGCAGGCAAGCACTCTACCACTGAGCTAAATCCCCGGCAATTGACTTATTAAAGTGAATAGAAAACAAGTAAATAAAGGGTGTGTGGACCAGTGCCTGCCTACCAGAACATACCTAATATACTGGTTTTAGCACAATGGTTAGCGACATCATGGGAGCACTTTAATGCAACATGTATGATGTGGTGGCCCAGGGTCAGACCTAGGTTTCAATCCTGTAAACAGGAGAATCACATGAGAAGAAGTATCGATTGCCAAGAGTAACATCTGGCCCATGGCAGGCGCCGTAGAAATACTGTGCTTTTCCCTTGTCTGCCAGGGAGGAGCAGGGCGAACCTATCCGGGGCACACATACAGTACCTAGATCACGAAGGTTGCCAGGAGATTCTCCTGATCCTCACAGACTTCAGCCTTCTACAAAAACCATCAATGCCACAGAGAAAAAGCTTTAAGGACAGTCAACCAGACTACCATAGAACTGAATGAAAAACCTAACCAGAATCCACGACTTCGCTAGCTTGATCCGCTACACCACCAGGGTGTTTCAGCAGCAGAGTTAAGTCACCACCCCCGGGAACACATGACACACAGCCTCGCAAACCCTGAGCTTACAAAACCCACAGTGTCTGTTATGCTAATTCTGTCTTCCCTCCCCTAGAAAACTGACAATGACGGCATCGACTTTGATTTTACTGTTCTGCTGCATGAATTCTCAACACAGGTAAAAAAAAAAAAAAGCCACGTGTGTGTCAAACTGTTCATATTCCCAGTGTTTCAAGTTATAACATTTAGATCTTCATTTCCTAGGAAATCATCCCCTGTCGAATTCACTTGTTCTGGTACCCTAGCAAACCACTGAAAGTACAGTACCACTGTCAAGAGCTGCAGAGCCCAGAAGAAGCCTCTGGAATGGAGGAAGCATCAGCCATGGCACCAACAGAGCTCAGTAATTTCTAAAGAGAAAAGAGCGATCCGCTTCTATCACATTCCAAACAAAGCGACTCCACAGGCCTACTTCATCACTCCTGCATGAAAGCAAAGGTCCAGGCATCCCAGCAACTTAGGCAGGCCTGCGGTCACAGGCAAGTGTTTCCCCCCAGATCAGCCTTGGTGTTTAACTCCGAGAGCCAGTGCACACATGTACCTATCTGCCCAGGGCTTAGCGGTCAGAGCACATTGCTAAGACTTTGTGCAGGTGGATCAACAACTGCTTTGGGGAAAAGGTTTCATCTCTGAATTTGTGTTTTTCATAATTTTGGACGTAGTATAGCTATTTTACGTTCCTAAATTGCTCCTACTTATTACGTCAACAAACAGTTTGTCAACGAAAGTAAATTGCAGGGAAATATTAACTGCGAATTTCAGGCAAGCATTCCCTTTTAACTTTGAAATAAATGTTTGCATTTCTAAATAACAAAATGTGTTTGTAAGCTTTTGTATGCACAGCAAAATGTAGGCTCACCTAGAACTACATCAAATCCCACTACTGCCTGATTCAAATCTTACAAACAGCATGCCATCTCACATGATAAAGCTGCAGACACACAGTTAAAGAAACACTGATCTAGCTCAGAGTATACCAAAATATACTTATTTCTTTATTTATCAGGACAACTCAGATCCAGTGTTGGTGTAAGTAATCAATAAAAGCCAACATAATATGTAATAATCAAATTCAGCAAAGTACCTCCTGAAGGCAGGAAGAACTGATCCAGGAAATGTCATCATCTGCCTCTCACAATTATTAAAATTTAATGGAACACTTATGTCACTGTCTTAAACTCTTGAGCCAGGTTCCTTGGCCAGTAACTGATTAGGGGACATCAGCTTCAAAATGAAAAAAGGATACAGAGGCACCCACATGATGGGTGAGGTTATGTCCCCATAGAGGCTGGAAATGCAGTCAATGCACCTAAACACCCAGCCTGACAACACCATAGACTTTGCTGTTACCCTGGTGCTCATGTGGCTGCAGAACCGTGTCCTGCTGCTACTGTCCCAAACTTCCAGAGTCTCATACAGTCTTTTCCTTAGCTAAGGCCCAAATTGTCCATATGGTTTTCCAGAAAGAATGCCATTTCGAGTCACTGTCCAATCAACTACTAAAAATGGAGTTATAGTCTCTACTTAGATAACAGGAAAGTTTACACTTCAGAGGAAGGTTTTAGGCAGGGACACCTAACAAAATAGCCGGAAGCAGATCTAATTGTGTATTTCTTTTCTGTTTTAAACCCCAAACTGTTGCACTTACCTCTCCAGTACCTACTCCTTTTAGCAAGTCCTAAATCCTCTGCATAATCTCTTAAGGGAAACAGCAGCTCTCCTCCTATGCAATAATGAAGACAAAGTACTTTTTCTAAGCACCTAAGAAGCAATACGTAATGACTGCATTGAGCCAAATCAAGCCAACAGATAAAAGTTTCGAACTGAGGTTCCCTGAACAATCTTTCAAAGGAGATCCCATGAGCGCTGCATAGATTATAACACATTGCTGTCCTGTGATCTCCATCCATTCTTTACTATCCTTCTAAATGGTATCTCAGCTTTCTCCAAGATCTTACTTTCAAAAGATTTCTCATTACGCTTACAAGTGATCATACTTCCGCCAGTGAACAACAAACAACATGCCTTAAACAGACTGATTTTGCTATAGAGCATGAAGAGGGATTGTATGCAGAAGTCACAAAGTTAAAGCAACTAGACATTTCTCAGTGTCTTCATCAGAACATCTTTTCTATCATGAACTCTGAGATTGTGAGCTTGATTTAATTAACATTGATTTCACTGGCTAACAACAGAGCAAGTACTTCATTTGCCTTAGCATAAAATGAAAAACTGAATTCCCCAAGCCCTCTTTCCATTAGCGGTATAAATTCTGAGTCACCAAGTCAATGACAGTTACATTTACCATCACATTTACCTAACTTCTCAGGAACTTTCAGAGTTTTAAGATACATCAGAAGTAGTACCAGGATTTTGACTGCCATTTTATTCTCTTCTACTATTCAGTTTCAATTTTTCCTACTTGAATGGTAGTTTTTTAGATAGTACACATGGTGGTTTGAATGAGAATGGCCACTCTAGGCTCCAGGCCAGGGAGTGTACTATTTGATAGGATTAAGTGTGCCTTGGAGGAAGTGTGTCGCTGGAGGTGGGCTTTGAGGTTTCAAGGGCCCAAGCCAGGCCCAGTGTCTCTCTCTTCCTGGGGCCTTCAGATGCAGATGTAGAACCCTCAGCTACTTATCCAGCATCTTGTTTGTCTATGCACTGCCATGCTCTCCACCATGATGATAATGGACCAAACCACTGAAAACTGTAAGCCAGCCTCCAATTAAATGATTTATTTCATGAGTTGCCGTGGTCATGGCGTCTCTTCACAGGAATCGAACATTGACTAAGACAGTTTGTTTGAAGGTCAGTTGAAATATCTATATTTGGACTTGAATGTTAGTCCTTCAAGATCTTATAGTTTACCACACTGACTTTTCTCAGTTTAGAAAATTCTGGTCAGTTCTGTGACCTTTCCTAGCTTTCAAAACACAAGTCTTAGCCACCATGCTCCCTAGCCTACATATGAATGGGTAACTGACTAGAACGTTCTCTAGAAGCACAAGTAGGTTTCTTCAGTGAGGCACTGCTAAGTTAGCTGAAGACTTCAAATTCTCATTCAACAATGTATAGTTTCAACAATGAGAAGAGTTACCTTCTTCAATGGGATAGTTCCGACACGTCACAACTCACTCCTTCCTGGTGGCTGCCAAATTTAAGATTCATATGTTAAATATTAAAATATAAAAATTCCCAACTTTCAAAACTGATTAAATTCTGTTGATTCACAAACTACATAATTAAGCAGGGAGGAAAAGAATAACAGAAAACTGAACTGCATTTCTTTAACGTCAGTTATCAGCTGAAGGAACAAGAGCCCAACTGTAATATCTCACAAAGGAATATTGGTATTATACATTAGAATTACAAAAAAAAATCTTTAATTTCATGTCTTAGGCCTATGTGCAGGTGACATTGCAGTCGTTAGCATCAAATGTATACTGGAGTCAACTGGACACATTCAGAGAGCCCCGATATGCAGAGATGGGTCCTCACTTAAGCTCCAGGGAATTTTTAAGTGAGTCAGGAAGAGAGCAGCCATGCAGCAGCTGCCAGTGCGGCCTCTCCCCAACACAAGCTAACACTTTCTTTAAATTAGCTAAACCTACCCTTCCTAATAGTAGTGTCAAAATCTTTATTTATTAATATCCACATTGATATTTTCCACGCTGTAGGCTTTGTTTGGTCGTTACCATCCATCCATCACTAATCTACTGAGTTAGCAACAGATGTGGCTGTTCTTGTCCTCCGGGATCCTGTTCCATTCACGCTCCAATGTGGATCCATGCCATTGCCTATGAAATGCTGCTGATGGATTAGAAACCCAGGAGAGTTACAACTTCTTCTCTTCTCTTCTTCTTCCTCTTCTCTTTCACGCCCCCCGCTTCCCACCTTCTCTTGAAACAAGGTCTCACTGTGTATCCCAGGCTGGCCTTGAACTCACAGAGATCTACCTGCCTCTGCCTCCTGATGGTATAACCAGAATATTTAACAAATTAAAAATGCACTCAGTTTTATCCATTTTTCTGACTATTCTCAATATCCAGAGACTGCATTAAATTCTGTGGCAGTATTTCCTTACTGAGAATGTACTCACAGTACCAAAAGCAAACCACTTCCAAGGTGTGATGCCATGGTACAGCCACACACATTCATGGAGCTAGTGACTTGTAACCACAGGACCTATTTGAAAACTTAAAGAGCATGGTCTTCAAACACTCTACTATCTCTATATGTTTTCTCTGGTTACAAAGACACAATATTTACTTTCACAGGGTTACAAGAGTTAAATTAGATAATGCATCTAATTTCAAAGCAGGCAGGCAATTCAATCTTTTTATCCTAGAATTCTAAAATTATAAAGTCTACAAATAAAGTCAAAAGCTGCACAAGATGTTGCAGGCCTGTAAAACCAGCAATGCAGAGGTCAGAGGTGGTGTGTGTGTGTGTGTGTGTGTGTGTGTGTGTGTGTGTGTGTGTGTGTGTGTGTGTAGGTGGAGAGCAGGAGCTCAAGGCTAGACATGAAAGCCTGTCCAAAACACCCACCACTTATTTCTATTATCTACTTTTATTGAGTAAGGATAACAGATTAGGGTATATATGTGGCATCAGAGGTTTCGGTGTGAAAAATTCTTAAAAGTATAAAGCCAACTAATTCTGGAAACAAAGGCTTACATTCGCTGTTTCTCAACTTCAATGAACACAACATAGGCCAAACTCAAATCACTCAACTGAACTACCAGGCATCACGAACTGAGCAGGCAGCAACTCTACAAATCCTGCTTTATCCAAATCTATGAATGCAAATAAGGAGAACGTAGGTAAGCTCCTTGTTCTTGTCTAATACAAGACTGCCAATAACACTGTACTCCTAACACGGGTGGTTATAAATGGGCAGAAGCCACAGACTGAAGCCATTTGCCAACTTCACTCTTTTAATAGCCCAACGAAGAATCTGAAAATGCTCTCTAGTAAGATCATGATTCACACATGCCTCATTAAGTGACACTCCAAGAGATGTCATGATGTACAATGTTTACACTCAGAGCCTCAACAGAGTAACTTCTAGAATATCAATGCATGCCGTAGAGACAAGGAACAACTTACTTGAGAAGTAAATCACTGAAAATTATTGACTCTTGACTATAAATGGAAGAAGCTACATGGCTATTCTGTACTGTTTTTTCAACTTTTCGGTATGTTGAAAACTCTCATGATAAAAAATTGAGGGAGTTGGAGAGATGGCTCAGTGGTAAAATGCTGGATGAGTAAGCATGAAGACCTGAGTTCAATCCTCCAGAGTCCATGTAAAGTCAGCTGGGCACCGCACATGCCTGTAATCCTAGGAAGTGGGGGTGGGGGTGGGGCAGGATGATCCCTGGGGCTTGATGGTCAGTCATACTCGAGTTCCAGGTTTAATGAGAGACGTTACCTCAAAACTAAGTTGGAAAACAATGAGAAAGACAACCTCTGGCAGGTACATACACACACAAAACCACAAATGTACATACACGAGCACATGGGAACAGGGGGGCATGGGCTGCATAACCACAGTCCCAGGACATGCACACGGGGTGGGGGTGGGGGCTGCATAACCACAGTCCCAACACATGCACACGGGGTGGGGATAGAGGCTGTATACCCACAGTCCCAGCACATACACATGGGGGTGGGGGGTGGGGGCTGTATACCCACAGTCCCAGCACATGCACATGGGGGTGAGAGGGTATGGGCTGTATACCCACAGTCCTAGCATTTGGCAAGAGGACTGTGAGTTTTGAGGTCAACCTGGGTTACACACATAGACCTTGTCAAAAAAAATTGCAAATTTAAATCTATTCTAAGCTGAAATCATTCTCTTCTTCCCTTAATATTAAATATTTCTCTTCTTTCCTTAAATAAATATTAAAATATACTTCAGTAATAATCAATTTTATTTAAGGTCTTTCGTTAAACAATAGTCAATATAGTTTAAATAGATACATATAATTATCTTTGCATATACATAGAAGCTCCTGACCGTGGAACAGCAAGGGCTCCTAAAAGGTTCCAGCCATCTGCGTTCATTCTACTGGAATCCATCACCTCTAAGTCTTTAGCCCATAGTCACTGCACTCAAAGTGAGGGGAGTCAGTTCTTGGCTTTTCCTTTCTTTACAGGGAGTTGACCTGTAGCTTCCAGATACTTATTAATGAGGTCTTCCTGTGTGGCTGGCGAACACGGCTGGTATCTGCAGTACTCCATTGTGTACTCTCCTTTTCCCTGGACGTTCAAGAGAGAGAGAGATTTGCTTACAACTCCCAGCACGCAGAGTCCGGCTGTCACAAATGTGCTTACTGGGCGCTCTCCTGAAGAGCCCTGAAGTGAGGTCTCACTCCATTTTAACACTGCTTACCTCTGTGCACGACCTAAGTTCAGTGGAATAGCCAAACATATTATTTAGGGGAACCTAAAAACAAACAGAATAAATATTTTAGCACCGCTTGTTAAAAAATATTTGAGGAAAGTATGAGGCTGCATTAGTCAATTTAATGTCTTACAGTTAGTTTTCTATTGACAATTTCGGTTTAAAAGAATCAAAAGCCAGAGTAGCTGCTGTCATATCCCAGATAAGAAACCCTATTTGAAAATTATTTAACAGGCATAATTAGACCAAATCTTTAATTCCAGAGTGTATACCATTGATGCCCTTCCCTTCTCATCCCCACACCACTGTCTATCTACCTCCTTCAGTTCAGACAGCCACAAGTGTTTTCTGTGTGGAAATGTTAATGAGTTTCTACTGTGCGCACGCGTGTGCGTGCGCGTGTGTGAGTGTGTGGTGCTGGGCACTGAACCCAGAAGCCCATGCATGCTTGGCATGTGCTCTAGCACTGAGCTGCGCCCAAGCCCTCCTTTGGGTACTGACATGACACACTGACAGCAAGATCTTTCTAGAGGTGATCTGTAAAGTGACCGGTACCTTCTCCTCCAGGAGATTTAAGGTAAGATGGTACAGATCAGGGAACTGAATACTAGTCATATAACACAATAAAGCAGCTACACAAAGAAGCTTACAACAGGAAAAAAATAACTATACATCTAAGAAACAACAAATTCACAAAAAATACATAGCCAAGATATAAAGAATCCTATTTTTGGCTTTTGTACTTATAAATTGCTTACAGAAAATTACACAAATTGCCACAAAATAGAATCTGCAAGTTCAAAACAAATGCTTCAGCCTGCTCTACAATTTCCAAAACCAGAGCTAACTGATTTGCTCCTGTGGCTAGCAAAAGCAAGACAAATCTGTAACCCTATGAGGCTGAGGCACCAGGATTAGTATGAGTTCCTTGCTAGCTTGAGATACAGTGTGAGAATGGATCTCAAAAAACAAGACAAAGAAACCTGGGAGACCATCCAGGCCCATACTTACATCTGCATACAGGGTGAAATAGTCCTCGATCCCATCCTGCCCTGTGATTACTCCATGGCGCCGGTTAATTCCCCCTATTACTGTCCCCTGGAATTCATTTGGAGCTATAACTTCCACGGACATAATAGGTTCAAGAATACATACTGTGGCATTTGCTAAGGCTAGGTTTAAAAATAAAGAACAACAAAAAGAAAAGTTAAGAACACTGGTTGTTAAATTGGAATTCTCTCCAGCTCTACATGAGACAGGCGACACTTTCCCAAAGGAACGCAAGGGACAAGCTTCAAACCTCCCCCGACTCATTTTTTTTTTTTTTTAATATTAATGGTAACAGTTATCTGTGTGGAAATTCCAAGAGATAATGCTTCATTCTGGTGTTACTACTTCGATTAGCATATTTTTAAAAATCCTTAGATCTCATTAAAGTTCAGAGCACAGAAAACATCAATCATCAAGTCCTGCACTATGCGAACTACCCAGCTGTGCTACTTCATCTCTTACTTCACATACAGACAAGCTCTGAAATGAGACCAAGGGAAACCCACTCTTTCTTTCTGGTCCTTGGCGCTCACATGAGCACGCGTGCACAAACACATACACACACACACACACACACACACACACACACACACACACACACACACATCTTACACAGGAGAGGGTGACTGAAGAAAGAGGTGAGTCACTTCTGAGAAGCCTTTCCTCTTCTAGGCTGAACAATCCCACTGCCTGCCTGAGACTCAGGATTTAGCTTCTGTCCTCTAACATGCTATTGCCTCTTGTGAAAATTCTGCCTGGTCTGAGGTTTCTTCATCAATAACTAAAAACTATCAGACTAGCTGTTAGCAGTCCCTTTAACATGAAACTCATTGTGTATTTTTTTGTCCCATCAAATACACAACTAATATACTTCCTAGTTACAAATACTGACTCACATTTATGGAGGAGGTAGAACACAACTTCAAATATTTACACTTAATTTAGTAGCTTGCTAGAGCAGAATGTTTAGCCTCAGACCAGCTGCACTATCCCCAAATAAGAGTGTCTAAGCCAAACACAGGAAAGACAACTAAGAAGCTGTTTTGTTTGAAAATAAGCACAGTTTTTCCAGAGGCATCTATCTGTTCGTAAGGAATTAATTAGCAACCTTTCTCGTATATTTATATAAGCCCTTCTAAAGACACTACAGTCTTAAGTGCAGTAACCATTAGAGTAACAATGTAACACACACTCCTCAGTACCAGTCGGGGATTGGCACCGGGACCTCAACTAGGTACCAAACCCCACAGATGTTCAAGTTTCTATGCCATTTTTAAAATGTTGCAGTATTTGCATATAGCACTCTTAAAATTACCTATAGATCCCAAAAATCATTTCAGTAAAAGTCTATGTAATAGTTTCTATTAATAACATTGGTGATTCCCTATTTCAACCCACTAGTAAAAACACTAGCATCAGCAGCCCAGGTGCTTAAGTGGCTGAATGGGGAGGTAGTCAAGAGCTAAGACTAGTCAAGGTTTAACTTTAAGCCCTACCAAACTAGTATGTCAGCTTGAGTTATGGAACTAATTGCTATGAACTCAGTTCTCTCAGCTCTAAGGTCATAGTGAAGACAAGCTCTCATGTACTCAACATAACACAGCGTACATAAGGGATCAATAAATGTTCAGAGCAAAACCCGAGGTGAACATGCAGGGAAATGAGTGGCATGGCACTATGCTAAGTCAAAGGCAATAGAACAGGAAGAACTGTATTCAGTGTGCCTTATGCATGTATGTATGTATGTATGTATGTATGTATGTATGTATGTATGTATATATACACTCACATGTATATTAGGCACATATAGGCAGACTGGGAAAGTTAAGGTGATGGCCTGTTTCTACACAGTGAGGAGAAGAGAAAGACTTGAACACAAAGCCTGGCATGGAATGGCAAAAGAAATCCCAGAGCAAACCGTGCCGGGTTTAATGAGCTAAGGACGCAATTCTGCTATGTTTAGAATGGCCGAACGGCCAGTGTTTGGGAGAATGCGCATGGTGTTCTCTCTAAAAACTACTTATGGGGGAGACAGCAACACTCACATCCACAGAGCCAAGGCAGGTCAAGCACATCTGGTTTCATATTTCAGTTTTAAGTTACATCACTGATTCATCTCTGAGGCAAGTTCAAAAGTTGGTTTACACTGGAATACATGAGAATCTAAACTATCTTCTAACCTTATACTATATCACATATTTTACCAAATATAATAATAGGCACAACAGCCTAAGCGTAAGCTGCTCTAATACCAAGCTCATTTAGCAAGCATCACTTACTCCAGAGCCCTCAGCAGGCATTCAGTGACATGTATGTATCAGTTCTTTTACTGCTTGGTAAGAACTTCCTGCCCTTGATTTGTATTAATTAATTAATTTGGGCTAGCCCTGGATGTCCTGACTTATTTTGTAGACGAGGCTGGCCTTGGAATCAGAGATCTGCCTGCCTCTGCCTCCTGAGTGCTGGGATTAAAGGCATCAAATCTAATGCCTTTTCTTTTTAAAATTGTATTCTATTTTTGGCAACTATTTGCATTTTATTTATGGACAAAATGTCATTTCATATTTTTTTTTGTCTTTAATCATGAAGAAATAAGAATCACATGGAGAAACCCCAAATCAGTTGTTTTTCATGCCAGCACCTTGCTTGGCTGCACAACTTAGTTTAAAAAAAAAAGTTCCTATTTCAATTATAATCCAGAGTTTTTCCTTTGCACATCTACTAGGTAATTATTCATTTCAGTTAATTTTTCATTGGTATATGTGTATATTATAGGTATATACATCTATACTTACTTATATTTAAATATAGGAAGAATTAAAAAGGATGAAGTATATATTAATTAATGTGCAGATAATTTAATTTAGCCTTATCTAACTTTTATTTCCGTGAAAGTTACAAACTTCTAATCAAGAACCAACATAAAAAAACTAGTGCTTTTAAATTTAATTATATTTCTGAAAAGTATTAATGTGATTTAACGCTTCGCTTAAGATGTGTTAAAGCAGTGAACATTTCAAGGTCAAAAGGTGGGCAGTCAATCTGAGTTATGCCTAAGAACATCCACATCATTTTCTTTTCTTCAGGCTGTCCAAATCCCTGCATCACGGACTGCAGAGTCTGTTTAATATGCAGCTGATTAAAAAAAAATGGAGGATCACTCTCCCTTTCTACAACTAAAAACTAGAATATAATTACTAATTTTAAATAAAATAAGGAATTAGCAACTTAGTCTAGAAAACAACAGTCCTCCCAGACACTGTCTAACGTTAACCACAGATGCAAACTGAGACCAAAAGGAGTTCAGAAAGCTCAAAATTCATAGAGTCAACAGAATTCTGATTTACA